CCAACGAGCCTCGCGGTGGTGGTGGGTGCCTCTCACATCAGTGGTTGGGGGCGGGGATGCGATGGCAACTAGGGAGTTAGGGAACAAGAGGTTGCGCGGTGCGCGTGGAAAGATAAGGATTGAAACAAGTGCTCACTCCAGGACACGCGTCGCGTGGGAGGTGACCGGTGGGGGACGAGCACAATCGGTGCCACAAAAATGTTGTATTCAAATTCCACCGACAACTCAAGAAGTGAAAAACAGTCAAACCAAATTAATGTTAGTTTTCTGATTAGGCCAGAAGTTTGGCCCGTTTACATAGTCGATGTTGAATTTCTTGTTCTCATTTCTCAAGCTCTGTTTGAAAGTTATATTTGAACGCGACATTGTAATACATTATTTTAGTGTCATATTATTTTTAGATTCTTGGACAAAATTGTATAATTGCTTTTATGATAGGTGCATTGGAGATGCTCTCACATGCGCTTGACCTAGCGTCTATGCGAGTTTTTTGAAACCTAAAGAGGTCCAAGGTCTCTCTTGTAGCGAGACTGGTGGTTTGCCTCGCCCGCATTCACACTACAGGGAGTCGGTGGTGGTTCGGCCCAGTGGAGACATGGCGGTCTTGATGATGTCATGTTGACATCATGCTAAGATCGCACCAAAGTTTGTTTTTTATTTATATTCTAATGGATATGTTTAAAAAATGTACTTAAGAAAATTTTAAAACCGTGATTTTTGGAAAATGTTAACACTGTATAGAAAATGTTAGCAATTTAAAAAAAATGTTGATAGCTTTAAAAAAATGTTCGTGACAATAAACATGCCCCTTGGGTTGTGTAGCTCCCGTGGAAGTCCAAAATGAGCAAACATGTCACTTGGGTTGTGTAGCGTGACCATGCGAATTAGTGTCGGGTGGCCCGTTGGATGTTTTTTACGGCCCGTAAATTGATATCCCACACGTGAGATATCTGGGCTATATTGAGGAGGCATTTTCAAAAAGAATGAGCTAGATCGCAGGTATTTGCACACGAGGTAGTAGCGGTGTCTAGTCAAAACGGTGAACGAAGTGTACAAAGGCGAGTATCATGGGCAGCGACAAAGTGAGGGGTCTCCCGAACTTCATGGAAGACGCAGTTTGGAACGGGATTTTTGGTTCTCAGGTGCTCCACACACAATGAAGGTTTTCGATCGAGATGGTTACATTTAATTTGAAGTAAAATTGTCTAGTTGTAATACATATCCAACAGCTCACTTTGCAAATTGATCTCTAGACATGCTCGACTAGTGTCGGTGAATTGATACATAATTTGGAAGTATGCTTCTAGTCCCGAGCTCACATGCACATGATATGAACGGTGTAATTTGAAGAAATAGTAAGAATAAAAAATCTGTTTTTTTAACAACAAACATTGCTGAGTTTTATGCTCGTGTGAAAATATTTATGATGAAATGACATTCATGGATATGCGGGAAAAAGCAAAACAAAATCACTGCTCCAAAAATACTTTTTAGAGAATCTTTTTATCCAGACCTGCATGAGCATGGATGTCATTCCATCATGAAATTTTGCATGATGTAAAACACTCGACAATGTTTATCTTAAAAAAAGTTTTTTTTACTATTTTTTGAATGTTTTACTGTTCACCTAGGTGCATGTACATGTGCATTCTGGGTGCTCCTGGTACTCACAATCTGGAAACAACCCTACTAATGTTATTAAAAACCGGTAAAATTATTGTTTACAGATAAAACACATATCTAACCTGGCACAAAAATTCCCGTATTTGAGTCCAATTCAATTTTGAGAAAAAATGTAGAAATTTTATCGTGGTCCATAGCAAATTTAAAACGGGCCTCTAATCTCACTCCAAAGAAAGCATGGCCGGCCTAGGTAAGAAATCCGGGTAGCCATGGACCTGTGGACTTCATTCTCGTGTCCAAAATAAAGAGAAGAAATTTTGCTCAAAAAGAAAGAAAAAAGAGAAGAAAAAAAAGTCGAGAGAAAGAAAACGTAAAAGAAGAGCATCATCTGACTTTTGATTCGCCACAAGCCAAACACCACACGCTTTTGGGTCTTTGTCCGGCAAAACCGCGCTGGCTGGACGCGAAGACCTTGGTGATCCTGTTAAGCAAACTGCAAAACGGGAAGCCTTAACTAGCAAGGCGTCGCCAGCCTTGCATGCAGTTCCTTCCGTGAACGGAAAATAAGTACTACACTGATTTTTGTTTTCTTTATTTGTCAAGGATAGACGCCTTGCATGCAGTTCCTTCCGGGAACGGAAGATAAGTACTACACCGATTTTTTATTTATTTGTGAGGGATAAGTATCTCTGATTTATGTTAGAAGTATTCCAGTGGTGTAACTTTTTTCTCGCGAAAAGGATCCGGCCCTACTATAAAAGTTCATGAGAAATATAAAGCAACTCAAATATAGTAAAATTTACATCGATATCCCTGCACCATCGAACAACCATTGCTAGAGTGGACAAGGGCCTCG